CAGTCTGTTTGCTGTCCTCCTATTGGTATACAAATGCTTTAGTTTCCTAATAATCTCTGTTGGTATGGAGATGAGACAAACAGCATAAAAGAATGGCTTGAGGTGATTGGATGAATGAATTCTGTGTTTATTAACACCACAATATTCAATGGCTCAGTGTGTTACTTCAGCTTCATAGGACATAATTACATGTTTTGATTAGCAGATACATTTCCCTATCCTCAAGATGTCAACAAGGGTTCATGTGTATGACATATATAAACGGGTGCTAATTTCACTAGTCACAGGTTCTCTAATTACAGTTGTAGGTTCTCCTTTCAGTCAAGATTGGCTTTCCATTAGTTCTCTGTGGCAGATTGCTGGGGTGTATCCCTGCACAGTGACCACAGCCGGTAGGTAAAAGTAGAAATAATGTTTTACATCCAGCAGAGTCAACAATTGCTGAATGATTAGCTGCTAAAATATAAATGATTCATACCCATTGGGAAGAATTTCTGTATCCTCATCAGTTACAAGGCAGTCCTTGAAAGCTCTTTCTTTGAAAACTTGACAAGATTTTGAGAATACAGCTGCAGTAGTAGATCTCCTTTGGAGTATAACATGGGCTTGGTAGAAAATAGACTGCACAAGATAATATTTGTAGTAACAAAAAAGAGAAGGGTAGGTAGTGCTGTTATAATAAACATGGAATTTTAATACTGTACTGAGTTAATTCTGGGGCAGTGGGTGGCTGGTTTCTGTGCTTAGCCTGAGAGTTGTACTCTGATTTTATTTTTTATTTAAAAATATGTATTTTTATAGGTATAGCCATTTCAAATATCTAGGTGGCAAGAAGGTGATGGGATGGCAAGAAGATGGCAAGAAGGTGATGGGTAGCAGCATTTAGTCCTTAATTGGATTGTATCTAGATGGAGGGAAGCAAGCAATGGAGAACCCCCAAGACAGAAGTCTTAGGCCCAGTATTCTTCAACATCTTCATGAATGATTTAGATGAAGAGTACAAGAAAACTTAATTAATGCAGATGATATCAAGTTGATGGGAATAGCCAAGGACATTTGAACATTGGGCCCCATCTAACTAAATACAATTCAGTGGTGATAAAAGCAAGGCTTTACACTTAGGGAAGAAAAATAAAAAAAACCACAGGCATACAATAGATTGGGCTTTGCTCAATAGCAATAACTATGAGAAGGATCTAGGACATCCACTGGACAACCACTTAAATATGAGTGAGAAGTGAGTTGCAGGTTCCAAAAGCATCAATACATTCCTAGGTTGCATCAACAGAGAAATAGTATCAAGATCACATGAAGTTTTAATACCACATTATATTGGTTTGATAAGATCACATTTGGGATACTGCAACTAGTGTAAGTCAGCAAAATTTTAAAAAGCTGTTTAGACTCTAGAAAAAGTAAAGAGACAAGGAGGAAAAAGATGTTTAAGATACTGGGGGCTAAAACATGAACAGTTACAGGAACTGGGTATGTCTAGTCTAGCAAAGAGAACTGCAGGATAGAAGTTTTCCAATATTTAAGGAGTAGTCACAAAGAAGAGGGGAACTATTCTCCAAAGCATCTGAGATAGGACAAGAAATAATGGATGGATAACATTAATAAGAAATCCAATCTAGAGCTAAGGAGAAATTTTCTGACAGTGAGTATACTTTGTCAGTAAAATAATTGCCTCCAAAAATTGTAGGTGCTCTATCACTGGAAGTTTTTAGGAATAGATTGGATAACCATTTCTCTGGAATGGTATAGGGTTTTCTGCTTGAGTATGGGCTTGGGTTAAAAGGCCTCCATAGTTGTTTCAAGTTCTGTTATTCTGTTAAGTCACACTATCAATCATTCAAGTTTTTTTTTCTTTTACTTGCCTTGTACAAAAGAAAACCATGACTTATTAGGCTTATGGTTCTTTCAAAAAATGAGCAGTGATGATTTCTCATTGTTTAATAACCAAGAATAACTAAAGAGTATTTTTTAATCCATTGTAGGAATCTGCCACAAAGGTTGCACATAACACAAAGATTTAGCTGGTAAATCCAAATCTCCTTTAAGTGCAATTTTCAATTGCATTTGCTTATATTACTCTCAATAGATTAGAGTGTTGTTTGTTGTTTGCAGGAGCATTAAAATATAAAATACATTAAGTAAAGTAATAAAGGTAATCTCTATTAAGCAAAAGATTCATTACATTTAATATTTGAAGGCAAATTAATTCAATATCCCATATTACTTTGATTTTATTTTCTTCTCTAGTTTAATGTCAGGGAGGGTACACTGATACTTACACTTTTTCTTTGCTACTGGTAATTATTATTTTAAACTGCCACCTGGTTCCATTTAATCTTAAAATAATGGTTTGGTTTTCTTTTTATCTGTACATTGTTAGGAACATTACAAATGTTCAATGTGATTCACAAATTACTTTTTAAAAATAGTCTCTATTTTTAAAATAAATGTGAAGCTGATATGTTAGATGATTCCCCATGAATTCTGCATCTGTCTTTCAGTGTGATTGGCTGCAGTTATTTCTTCATTACAGATGATATCTTTATTTATTACTGAAGCTATATTTTGTCTTCTGCATATTTATTTAATTATTTAATTATTTTAAATTGCCACCTATTTCCCATGGCGACTCAAGGCGGCTTACACAATATAAAACCATATTTAAAACAAAAAATAAAAATAAAAAACTAACTTTTATATACTTTTTCCGTTCAACTTGATTATAATTTTATTGCTTGAAATAATGTATGCAGAGACAAAAACAAAAAGCAGGATCAATGTGGTTCCTTTATGCATAAGTAGTTAACGTGCAAGCTCTAGAGCATGGGGAAATGCCACCTGTAAAACATCTTATACAAATTTTCTTTATATGCAGTTGACATTGCATATTTTATAATTTTGAGACCAGTTTTTGCCATTTTTCTAAATCAATCCCATATCCAACATTTTTCCCCAAGCAATCATTGTTTCTTTAACTTGTTCCTCCTCCAATTTAAATTCTAATAGATGTCCATAAAGTTTTTAAATTACCTTTTCATCAGTACCCATCAAAATTTTATCTAAATCAGTCAACTTATCACAAATACCTTTTGCTTTAGAGTCTTTATGAAACCTAGATTGTATTTGCAAATATTGTATTTGCAACCAATTCATTTTTATACCTTGTTCTTCCAACGCTTTCATAGATTTAAGTTCACTCTTTTCATTCAATATCTCACCATATCTAAATGTTTGTTCCTTTTTATATATCATTGGATAAGAAAAAGCTTCAATAGTTGATATCCATGTTGGAATTTTTAAGTAATATTGTCTTTTTATCTTCTCCCAGTTCAAAAACAATGCCTCTCGAATATAATGTCATCTAAAATACCCCTGTGTTTTAGTTCCCTTGTACCAGAGAAAGGCATGCAATCCCAACAACAAGTCATGACCTTCTAAAGTCAATAATCTACTGTTCCTTAGTGTTATCCATTCCTTTACCCACATCAAACTTGACGCTTGGTGAAATAGCTCCCAATTGGGCAAGGCAAACCCTCCTCTTTTTCTTGCATCTTGTAACAGTTTTAATTCTTGCTTTTTTACCCTGCCAAATATATTTCAACACAATTCTATTTAAATCTTTAAAAAACTTTCCCTAGTCAAATAGGAATTGTCTGGAATAAATATAAAGCTCTAGGCAATATATTCATCTTAATTGTAGATATTCTCCCAATCAATGATAGTTGCAGTTTTTTCTATTTAATCAAATCTGTCGCAATCTGTTGTTTGAGTTTAACATAGTTATCTTCCTTCAGTGTACTACATCTTGGTGTAATATGTATCCCCAAATATTTAACCTTGTTCGTGACCTGTATTTTTTAAACTTCTTCCAACTCTTTCTTTGTCTTGCTAACATATTCTTTGTTAATATCTTTGTTTTGTCTTTATTTATTCTCAAACCTGCTACTTTTCCATATTCTTTTATTTTTTTCTATTAATTTGGGTGCTTTTCCAATGGGTCTTCTAATATAAATACCAGGTCATCTGCAAAAGCTTGCAATTTATATTCGTCCTTTTTAATTTTCATGCCTTTTATTTCTCTTTCTTCTCTAATATTCCTGTTCAACACTTCCAATGTTAACACAAACTGCAGAGGTGACAATGGACAGCCTTGCCTTGTCCCTTTTCTTATATCTATGGATTCTGTTAATTCTCCATTCACCATCACTTTGGAGTTTGTTTATGGTACATTGTTTCAGTGGCTTGGATATTTTTTTTTACCAAAGCCTATTTGTATCAATTGCAGTAAAATAAATCTCCAACTCGCATTGTCAAAGGCTTTTTGTGCATTTAGAAACATCAAGGCCATTTGCTTCTCAGGGTGTGCTTCATAATATTCCAGAGTATCCAAAATAATTCTCACATTGTCTTTAATTTGTCTCTTTGGCAGAAATCCATTTTGATCAGTATGAATAAAATTATTTAAGTATCTTTTTAGTCTTTCTGCCAAAATTGAAGCAAATATTTTATAGCCAGAGTTCAATAGAGATATAGGTCTATAATTTTTAACTTGCTGCAGGTCTGTACCTTCCTTTGGTATAAGTGTAATGTATGCTTCTGACCATGTTTTTGGTATTCTTTTCTTCAACATAACTTCATTCAGAACTTCTAAAAGATGAAGATTCAATATTTCCTAAAAAGTCTTGTAAAATTTCGCTGGCAAACCATCTGGACCTGGTGCTTTCCCAACATTCTGTTTTTTTTTTTAAGGCTTCTGTTAATTCCATCATTGTTATATTTCCTTCTAACATTGTTTCAATATTTTTAGGTATCTGAGGTAGTTTCTTCTTGAATATTCTCTTGAAAGTACAGTTTTCCATAGGAGTCTTGTATAATTTTTTTCTTCTCATTTCCAGAGCAAACCTGTCCCTTTATTTATTGCATAATCATCTGTAATGTCACTTCCTTCTCTTTCTCTTTTTCCTGTTGTAATATTGTCTGTATAGATCGTTGTCTTCCAGATGGTGAGGGAGTTGGTATCGAAGAAGCTGGAGCTGTTGTCTTTCTACTCATCTTATAATGCTTATCTGTAAAAAAAGAGAGAGAGGGAAAAAAAAAAAGGAAATAAGGAAAAAAGGGCGGGGGGGGGGGGGAGACAAAGGCGAACAGTTGCCACTCCAAAGGAAAAAAAGGAAAAAGAAAGTCTTTAGGCACTTGTGTACCTTAATCCAGTTAGTTACAATGGTAAATGTAAAAAGTAAAAAATCAACGATAAAAAGGGGGAAAAAGAGAAATATTCTATATGTCCCTCTTAATAAACAAAAAGAAAACAAAAATAAAATATTTACATTCTGGTTCCTGGTTTAAAATGTCAAAATCCAATTAAAGAGAAAAAAAAAGCCCAACTAGTTGAGGGGAGGGGGGTTAGAAAGGGAGGCAAAAGGTAAAAAGCAATGTCATCATAGAAGCAGAAATCCATACAACTTTGTGTTCAAGTATTATTTCTGAAAAGGTTGTCAATAACTTTTTTTGGAGTAGTAAGAAGAAAATGAATGACCTGTGTTAAGGACGAATCCAGGCTGAATTAGTTTGGGCCTGTTATTTGGGTCTGTTTGACCTGGAGAATCAAAGAACCAGACCAAACTTGGTACAGTAATGTTTATATTATTAGCACAAAGAAATGGTGCTGCCAGAAAGAAGGAAGGAATTAAATGATACAATGTAATCTGACTACTACAGTGAACAAAAGCAACCAATTTGAAATGCCCAATTCAGAATTCTAGCAATTACTGATCACATAAACCACATTTTAACATATACACATCTTTATCACACCCCATGCTTTTCTCCTTATCACCTTTATCCCATTCTACTCAGAGCATCTTTTCCCATCCTTTCCTATAATTGCATTCCTGATCTTCTCAATTGACTTTTCTCACAATAACTACACTTGCTAACTATCTCAGTAAAGCACACTAACATTATGGAAGGTGTCTTGCTTCTTCAACACATTACATCTCTAACATCTGAAAAACCACTGCTAATAAGTTCCTACTTATTAAAAGCAAATAAATTAATAAGTAACCTGTTTCCCCAAAGATATGACCTACCCTGAAAGTAAGTCCTAGATTTATTTTTACATGTGCATCCAATATAAGCCCGTCCCCCAAAATAAGCCCTAATTAAAATCCCACCAATTCCAGGGTGGGGATGGAAGTGTGGAGCTGCCGTACAACTTACCTTTGGTCAGTTGTATCCCGGTCTCGCATGCCCCAACACCTGCCTTACCAGCCCATTACTTTTGCAGCTGTCAAGGCTTTCCTGAAGGCCTCTGTAGCTGATAACAAAGTGTGGATTGATCCAGAGCTCTGTTATTGGCTGCAGAGGCCTTCAGGAAAACCTTGACAGCTTCAGAAGAAGAAGTTCCTGAAGGCCTCTGACAGCGAAAAGGTGGTCAGGGGTGACATGCACATGTGAGGTTCAGTGGATGAACAGTCCCCCAAAATAAAACTTGGTGCCCTTTTTGGTGGCAAAAAAAATGTAAGACGGGGTCTTATTTTGGGGAAAACATGGTATTAAGAATGCTATTAGGTTAATTTTTAGCAGTATTATTTAATATAAATAACCTAAGGTAATACCCTTATAATAGTATAAGATTATTTATTTTTGAATACATCCTCTCTGAAGTTCGGTATTATCTAACAAATGTATATATATTACAGTGTATAAGGGACATACATAGAGTAAGAAATTCAAAGTAGTTAAGTAATGCTTTGAAATACAGATTGATGCCTTTAATAAAGGTAAGATCTTTGCACTCATATGTACATATATTTAATTTTTTGTTAACTAGATGGATAGTTTTTATTAGATTTGAATCATGGGGGGGGGGGGGAGAAAATGGAGAATAAAACTGTATTTTAGTTAAAAGGAAAGCTTTATTCTAATAGTCTTTTGTGTTCTTTTTTACTAGTACATAATAAAGATTTTAGCTATAAGTATGCTAACAGATCCGAAATCTTCCTGCTACAGAATCCACTGTACCTTAGGGGACAATAATAATAAGTAGAAGATAATCTTAGCCAAGAGAAGTATTTCACAGCAAATTTGGCAAAAATCTGCCAATAGTATTCCTAAAAAAGGCAGATGCCATCTTTTGAAGCTTGCCTGGTAGCCATGTCTTTTCTTATTTGAAGCATGGTTAAGAATCCTTTCCTGGAGGCCCTGCCCTCTGGTTTTACATCCTTAGTCCTAGATGAAGTTTTTCCACTTTATTGAAGAAAAACACTCTGTAACATGCTTGAATACATTATTATTACACTTTCACAGGTGTAAGGGAATTCTTTCATCATCTGAGGGTAAACAATGTCTTAGTTGAGAGGTTACGGTATCACCTCCATTGGTGATGGAAAAGACAATTCGTGGAAGAAACGAATACCTCTATAATTAGTGTTTGATTTGACAATGATAAGAGATGTATAGAGTATTGTATGATAAAAGCATGTTTCAGTTGTTTGGGGTTTGAAACAATCTGCATGTTTGAAGAAATTTTTCTGAGCGTTAGCTTTGTTGTGATGAAACCTGGAACACACAAGGCTCCCTTTGGAGTACAGTTTATGTTGTTGTTGTTGTTATTGTTGTTGTTGTTGTTGTTAGTCACGAAGTTGTGACCATCCCATCGCAATCCCATGGACAATGTTCCTCCTGGCCTTCCTGTCCTCTACCATCCCCTGGAATCCATTTAAGCTCACGGTGACTGCTTCAGTGACTCCATCCAGCCACCTCATTCTCTGTTGTCCCATTTTTCTTCTTCTTTTTTTTTTTTTTTACAGTTTATACCTATCCCTTATTTAGTAGCTAAGATTTACTTTTTTTTCTCTCAAGCACCCACAGCCAGACATAGACATACAATGCCACTGAGTGTGTAAGAATCTATATGAGCTTTCTCTGTGTTAAAGTTACTAGGAGTTTACTTTGGAATAAGAGGTACCTACTAGTGGGATGCAAAACATACTGAATTCTGATTTTAACAAAAGTATCCCAACAGTATCTAAAGTCTTCTAGTAGCTCAATATGTGTGGTGTATCAGTAATGTCACTTGTAGAGGGAGCTGTAAAAAAAAACACACGATCAAACACATACACATACACACACACACACACACACACACACACACCCCTGGATCAAAGATCTTTGCTAATTCAGTGGGAAATTATAGATCACCATAGAACTCTTCCATCTTTCCATGCTTGGGATCAGGTAATTATCATATTGCTTAGAGACCGGATATTATTCTAAAGATATTTTCAACCTGATATCTGTTATTCTTTGATTTGGACCTCAAACAAAAGTTTGGCCATTATTGTTTAAATGCAATAAATTAGCAGAGTTATCACTTCTTAAAAGCTCTGCATATAACAACATTGCTAAAACAGAATTTGTGACTGCTTACTCATGTCGTGTATGATACACTTGAGTGCCCTTCCATATTTTACAAAAATCTGCCTTATCAGTTTGACCAAAAAAAGCACTGTGTTGAAAAGCAAAGTAATCATTTTTATAGTGCTTATTTTGTGTCTCTCATCTGTCTTTAGGCAATCAAGAATAAAGACCTGGGGGATGAGCTTAACATTTAATCTTTCTTCAGTTTCAATATGTATTATAATAGGTTTATGTCTGAAATTACTATGAACTTCCATATACTATGCATTAATAACTTTTTTTTCTGAAATCCGCACCCAAAATCTTGATTTCTACTATTGTCATAATCATGCTCAAGAAATTGCAGCTCATCAATCAAAAGGAATTTTTTCTCCTTCACATACATGAGTATATATATATTTTTTCCTCCATAATTCAAACCAGCAGTAATGGTTTCCTCACCACTGATTTATCACTGTAACTACTTCATGCATTTCCTGATATTGTGATATTATTCTATAATTACAACATTATCACTGTAATTTTCTGATGGATAGGAAATGTGTGGCCATTTGGGAATGGCTGAAGTCTAACTCCCAGCAGTAACAATCAGCATGATCAGTGGTGAGCATTTGAACAAGCAACATCTGATGGGCTATTCGTTCCCTATCCTTGCTTTTAATCTAAAAGCTGTTGCTTCATACTTGTTTATCTCCCAGGTACCACACTGTGTATCTCTAATGTTACTTTCAGATGTGAAAGGGGATCAATTGATATTGAGAAAGAAAAATCGAAATAATTTTCTTCACATATTAACAAGTTAACAAGTTAAAAAAATTTTCACCCTAGGATTGAAATCCTTGATATTAGCAGATTATTTTAGTGCTAGGTGGAAGTGATAAATTGCATTTTTATGGCTTTTCACAAGAGACTGTCCTTTCTTTGGGAAATGATCAAGCCAAAATAATTTTAACACAACACATTCTTAATGTGGAAGTACAACAAACCAAGCTATACTGCCTAGGAAAGTTTTCCTGAGCAGCCAACTTTATAAGTTCAGACATATGAGATATTTAAAACAATATTACAATACCCAAGCTGAAAAGGCTAAAAGATTATAGTGTAAGTCATTAAACAAGCTGTGGAATAAAACTAATAAATCAGCACACTAACAATAGAGTTTATTTAACTGACCAACAGAGTAACATAATTTAACACCCACAGACCTTAGTGAAATAAAAGCAATGAAAAGAGAGCACAGCTAAATGACAAGATTTATTGTTGTCTGGTTTTTGAAGAGCCTGGATACTGTACTGGAAAAAAATAGTGTAGTTATTTCTAATCTGAACGATAGATGACTTTCTTTTTATATTTCTCAGCAAGATTGTTCTTTCTTAATGAATTTTCCCATGTGTGCTTGCTTATTCATTTTCATAGTCCTATTCTGTTACTAAATTAGAATGAAAGGCAGAAAGCATCTTTTAGTAGATTGTTCATTTTTAAAATGAAATTTACCAGAATGAGTGGTTGTCAACTAGTTTTCTGGGTCAACTGGATTGTTTCAAGCATTTCTCGGTGAGATTTGTAATAGTGGAAAATATTCCCGGAAATACAACCTTGTCATCCACCATTGCCAAGCTTTCATTGCAACAATAATTATATTAGAGGGGCTCCACTGTCTTCCAGAAAGTACTTTTGTTCATAGCAAAAATGACATGTGATAGACTAACTAGCACCCCAACTTAATTTCATATAAACTTAACAACCCTTAGATTTTTTTCAGACTTGAAACCTCATTTGCGCAGATGATATAGTATTTTATATAGGAAATATCAACATAAAGTCAACTGGAATTATTAAAAAGTAAGCCTGATTATGACTGGGAAAAAAATTACAATAAGAATTTGTCCAATGAACACGTAGTTAAAGTTACACAAAGTTTGTCTATTTCCATCAAAGATCACTATGGAGTGAAATAATTAACAAGCTTTTAAAAGTTAAAGAGGAGGAGACTCAGATATAAAACATAAACTGATGGAATAATACAGATTATTGTCACTATTGTCACTATTATTATCAGTTTAAAGTACAGCTCTAGAATTAGGAAAAAAATGATATTTATCTAAAACTAAATCATAAGGTTAAAAATCTAAGAATAAAATAAAATGGTATTCTTCCATCCCTCCTCCCTCCATCGCTCCATCTAGGATTGATTAGGAAGCAGAATTTGTATGTTGAAAGTATCAGAATAAGATGGGTATTTTACCAGCTGAAGTGTAATGGTATGTAGGAAAGACCTTGAGAAATGGGGCAGACAACATAGCCTGCAACTGGATAATAGGTGGCAAAAGACTCAGAAGGGACCTTTGTAAAAATATTAACTTGATTATATATATCAAATCACAGATATCCCCAAGCTTACCCTTTTTAAATAATTATTGGTAAATATATAAATCATTGCAACATTCAATAATAATAAATACTTAAAGAATGTAAGTTTGGGAATACCTGGGATTTGGTGGTATGAACCAGCATTTTCTTCATTTTATGGAAAATTTAGTATAATATAGCATGAGAAAAGATGTATCCACATAAGCATTATTTTCTGTAAGTAACATGATGTCAGAGTGTTTGCAGCATGACTACCATTATGAGACAACCCAGGAGCAAAATACAGCACACAAAGGCTTAGACATTTAACAGTGATTTATATACAAGATATATATGTGATAGGCAAAATATCTTACAAGCAATCTTTTTTCTTCTTAACTCTGTACTGAGAACTCTGCAATGAATACTGGACACAAGGAGAGAGAACATGCCCACCAATGCCTGCCTTTATATAAACACCTCCTATTGAACCCAGTCTTAAAGGGAAATACCCATTCTATGCTAATTCATTCTTATTGTATCAGCTACATCTGGTCAGCTTCACTGCTGGTTGGGTTTTAAATCCCAAGACCTTAACAGCTAGGTTTTCATTTGGTTAAGACCCACATATGTAAAAGTTTAAAATTAGAGTGCTATGCACTTACAAGGAAAAAAGTCTTGATTTAATGTGGTAAAATTACCTCAGATTAATATGTGGAATGTATTATCAAATTTATTAAGTACGTATAATTTCCTTTTGAAAAATATAGCATGTTTGTAAGTAAAGAGAGAATTAAAAAAAATCACAGCAAGGAGATTTGCAATGCATAATTTACCTAACTATGATGTTCCTAAAAGGGTATATGGTATTATATTTTCTCAAAAACCTTGAATTTAAGATTATTCTGTTCAAGAAGGAAGAGTAGGTTAATAAATAAAAAGCACATACAATTCCATACATTTTTCTTCCTAGTTTTTTTTTAAAACAAATTTTATTAACTTTACAGAACAGTTTTGTCATGCAATGCATTGAATTTATTTGTTTATATCCTGCTTTTTTATTTTTATAAATAACTCAAGGCAGCAAACATATCCAACAACCCTTTTCTTCCTATTTTCCACATAACAACCCTGTGAAGTGAGTTGGGCTGAGAGAGAGTGACTAGCCCAAGGTCACCCAGGTGACTTTCATGGCTAAAATGGAATTAGAAGTCATAACCTTTCACTTTCTAGCCTGGTGCTTTAACCACTAATCAAACTGGCTCTTATAAAATACAGATCATGATAAACAATGAATTTCAGATGAATCTAATCCTGGTGATTTTCTCTTACTCACTAATCAATGTATGCTCATGTCTAATTTGGGCATTATTCTGTCCTGTACAAAGACAGATAGATAAACTCCACAAAGCATCCATACAAAGTCTTTTTTATTGGTACATCAGGCATCCTCAATAACTCACAGTTACGATGAGATTCTTCTTAATGTCCAATCCTTTGTATATCTGACTTTCTGGGTAAAAAGATGGTTATCTCTTTTCCCTTTCATCCCATATCGTAGAAGCAGGGGTAGAGATGCTAGCATGAGGCTGGGTTCAGGCAAGAGTGAAGAAACCTCCCCCAACCCACCAAGGGTCAATTCAGTGATCACTGATGTGGCCACATGACAGGGACTACATTTCCCAGGATACTTTAACTTTTTTGTTAAATGGAAGTGATAAATTTTATTAAAGATTACAATTTGCAAGCCTAAAAACTAATATGAACTAAAAAAAGATGGAGAAAAATAGAAAGTAAAGAAAAAGAAACATTAGAAGAATAAAAAAGAAGGCTCCGCTAAAAGTGATGGGATGCCAGACAAGGAGAGGAACTGAGATTGCCCACAAGTGCTCCAGATGACCGCTCTTCATGAGGAGATCACAAGATGGGAGGCATTGGTGAGTTTAGCCTCTGGGAGATGAGGATCCAAATACAAACATTCCAGTTTCTTTCATTTTTATTGACTCTGGATCAATAAGATTATTTATAGTTAAAAAAAAACACCTTGCCTGGAGCCTGTGAAGATCTGAACAGGCTTTGAGCCTGCCGTACAGAGATGGGCTGCACATACTATAACAATTGGCTTGCCTAATGCAGAAAAATGTGTGCGTGCACACAAAAATGTGTGCGTGCACGGGGCTGCAAAAACATGGGGATTTCCTCCGTGTGGCAGCCAGTGAGTAGCAGGAATCAGCTGGGCTCCGTGGGCGGGGCAAGCGAGCTGGATACATAAGACAGGATAGCATCAGGGCAGGTGGTCAGAACAACTGGTATGGGCGAGCTGGTCCAAACTGCCAGCAGTCCACCACTACTACTGTAATAAGGGGGCCCAGAGGGGGTGGGCTGATGTAAGGAGATAGTTGACAAGGCAAGACCTCATTCCCATGCCATCCCTAAGTCCTGGTTTTTGCATAGTTTTAAAATTTGAATAGTTTAATTACTTTTCTATTTATTTTTTTATAATCTGTAAACTGTTCAAAGTTGCCTTATGGGGAAGATGGGCAGCAAGGACCACCCTCTCCTGATCCGAGCATGGAGTGGAGAGAAGGTGAGAACAGTGCATTCCCTTAAGGGGACAGCTCCCAATTCCTAACAAACTATCCAATTCCCATTAACTATAACTGGCTGGACAACACAGGCATACCTAAACATATCTACTTCACCATAAGGGTTGGGCTTACCTTGCAAACAGATGCTCTGAAGATAATATAAATGTGATACATATAATCAAGTTAATGTTTTAAATTAAATATCTGCCTTAGCACTAGTGTCATAGAAATTGCTGTATCAACCATCAATCAGAACAGTTTTGCACTATTAATACTGTTGAAAGAAGAGGTGGGATAGATACCTATATATATCTTTGCCAATAAAAAATAAAAAACGATTCATCACAGCTGTGAAGGATATTCCTTTAACTGGTGCATGTGTTTTCATCCTTGTATTTCATCATCCTATGTTCATGACATTACAGCTCTGTTCTTTCTAAAAAATCTCAGGTGTGTATAGTTTTCAGCTTGTCTAAGAACTGTACCAATTGTAGTTAAACTACTTTGATGAACAGATCTCCTCTATGGAGCAAAAGAAAGCCACTATAAATTTCTCTCCATAATTGTTTGTTGTGTCAGAATCACATACAGTATAGAAGCAAAACAAGGAACACAAACTATCCCCACTGTGAACAAATCCAAAGAGAATTAATCATAACCAACAATGGTACTTCTATTACCAGAAGAGCAGATGTGTTCTTTAAGGACACTTTTGACTCTTTCTCTGTTAGAGTCTACAGTGAAAGATATTCCCTTCTGAATTTAGTTTTAAGAAAGTTGACAGTTTATCAAGAGGTGTTGAAGTTAAAAAGGCTTCTGAAGTTTCTCAGTGTTTGTGTATGTGTGTAACAAAACAGATATCAAGCACAACAAAGTAGAAATTAAATGATGCATGAAACCCAAAGTTGTTCTACTTTCTATTATTCCTAGCTATAGTAACCAGAAGGGGTTTTTTTTGCCCTTAACCTACTATGAAAACATGTTAATAAAGAAAATACATAAAGGGCACTTCAAAAGGATTATAATATTTATCAAATTGATCAGATAAGGCTTTGATGTTTTGGAATTCAATCTTCTAAAAGTTATGTTTTTCCTTGTGTAATTATAGGTTATTAATCTTATCATGAAATTTCAATTGACTGCAAACAGTTTCTTGTGAGAAGTTGTTATTGCCTTGTACATAATGAACACAATATCATATATTTTGAAAGTTGGGGTGATAACAGCTGGTCACAACGTTCTACAAACTAATTTTGACCAATTTCAGATGCTATTTGAATATTATCAGTGGAATAAAACTGATTTTTTATAAAGTCACACTTTATTTAAAACCCTACTAAAATATTCTGCCTTAGGTTGCATTTGAGGATAACATTGAGACATCCAAAGGAGTATATGTCTTAGATTTCTATACCAAGGAAAAACAGCATTAAAATTGCAACCCACCCCCCAAAAAAGGGACGTCTGTAAAGTTGATGCCAGATAGAAACATGAAATATTTTTTACCCTATTTTATTCATTTACATTTCATCTTTTTAAAATATATTTTTACAAATAATTCAAGGAAGCGAACAAATCCAACACATCTTCTTCCTGCTTTACCCACCATAGTCCTATGAGGTGAGTTTGGCTTAGAGGGAGTAACTGACCCATGGTCACCCAGCTGGCTTTCAAGCTGAAGGTAGGACAAGATCTTACAGTCTCCTGCTTTCTAGCCTGATGACTTAATCACTAGAGCAGACTGGCTCTCAAATACAAAAACTTAAAACACACATTTGTATTTGTTTTTGTAATGAAGGAGAAAACATTTCCAGAGATTTGAAGATGTATACGTATATGCTTTCACATGTGTGCATGCACATGTGTTCACACACATACACACATATATGTGTGTGTATGTGTAAATACATGTGAATATATGTGTGTATGTGTGTGTGCATACGTGCATATATATGTGTGTGTGTCTGTCTATCTATCTCACATATATGCTGAATGAAAAATAATGCCTTCTATCTTTACTTTAAATTGGAATATTTTAATAAATGAAACATGAAGATAATTCCTGAAATGAGCACTTTCGTCACTGTATTTACTTCTCCAGATAATCCATAGCATTTACTATGCATATCTGCCAATGATGAGCAAGCTTCTTAAAGCCATTACAGAACAATTCCACACTTTTATCTCTTCAAGTAGGCCTTGCTAGTCTTTTCCACTTCTTTATTTGAGAAAAACAGATGTCAGTGAAGGTGTTTATTCAAATTTTGGAAAATATGGCAATTCCATGTTATGAACCCTGAATCATAGTTCAGATGACGTGAGACAGTGAGACCCAACTTTCTAAGTGCCTCTTTGATGGATAATGAAGTATGATGATTACTGTTGTCATATTGCACAAAATTCCTTTCTTTTGCTTCTGAATTTTGCTGAATCAGAGTGTTGTAATATAACTCTCTCAATTGATAATGGTTGCAGATTGAAGGAAATCTATGTGAATAATCAGCATCTTTGAAATGGTAACCAGGAATTTTTTATAATAAAGTCAGGTTAGGTTTGTGAATTAACATTTTGTTTTTACACTTTGTTTCAGGATCATAATAATTAAACCATGTCTTGTTACCTGTTATGATGGTGTAAAGAAATTCCTCACCTTCCTTCTCATCAAAGGGCAACAATTTGTGGCAAAGCTAAACCCTTGAAGTTTTCTGCCAATAACATCTGCCTCAATTTTATGACATTAAAGAATAATAATATGACCGATTTCCTAAGAAATGCCCAGCTTGACAGTAATTTCTCTTTGAATGATCCATTGTTCGTCCTTAATCAAGTCATCAGATTTTTCTCATTTGAAACTCAGTTGCTATCATAAAACATTCACTTTGTTCTTGATGTATTTGTTCTTGATGTACAAATTAACTCTTCCTGGTGCACCATAGTAATATATGTTTGGTTCAGTGGTGCACAACATTCATGTCAAAATAGTCGTCATCATATGCAACTTGTTTTCAGGGTTGAATTTCAGCTAGAGGCATTTGTTCAAAACTCAAAAATCCAATCATAGGGCATAGCTTAAAGTGCACTAATGAGTACTCACTGTGGGCTTCAATTTCATGAAAAATAACAACTTAACCTTTTCTCACAGCAAATTCCTACTACCTAATGTGAATGAATGGATACTAAATACATATCAGATCTTTAAGTACTGCCTTCTGCTGGCTATTTATAATATTGAAGGCTACACACCCACCCACACAAACAAGATTACCTTTGTTTCTTTGTATCTTTAGATCTAGTTGTATCTATATTTATCTGTTTGTCTGACTGTATATTCTATATTCTATCCTGAAAGATGATCTGTGAATAAAAAGTTTGCAGGACTCATAATACCTTCAATTTCTGTGCTAACAAAAAGACTCCCACCCCAAATTGAAAGATATTATATCAGTAGGAAGTGTGAGGGATGTACTTAAAGACCCCTGCTTGAGTGAACCAGCAAAAACAGTTCCTGGGTTTGCGTGTGTCTATGTGTATGTACACACACACACACATACACACACATATATATAATCACACAATCTCACAGATGTTTTTGATGTTTGATGTCAGGGGTCATAGTCATGACCTGACTTGTTCAGTATTACTGTCAGAGGGATCAGTGCAGTGACAAACATTAGTGGTGAGAGTGAATAACCTTGAAAGATTCCTCTCTTGAAATTAACCTGTCCCAATCTATCACCATTGACCAGTCTTTATCTTCCATTGTGCTATACTCTTCGCACAAAGCTTCTGGTGTTCCTACTGACTCCTGCTATCTCTAGGCATTCGATATTTCATCATACACACACACACACACACACACACACACACACACACACAGAGTATATACCCTCCCATATTCATACAGATTGTCAGCATTACTTTTATATACATACATTTATGTGTCGAAATATGCCTTCAGTTGTTTCTTCACAACAGAACTACATAGAAACATATTGAAGTCACTTTCTATCCATTTTCTGTAGTTATTTCAGGATAGGTTGTCAGCTTCCACTGTATCTTTTTCCTCAATCACTTCTATTCATTGCACGCCAGTAGTATTTTCAGAATAGTGTTCAAAGATAAGGAAGAAGCAAACATCAATATTGGAAGAAAGACTTAAAAAATACTTAAATAATTTTATTCATCCTGATCAAAATGGATTTCTGCCAAAGAGACAAATTAAAAGACAATATGAGAGTAATCTTGGACACTTTGGAACACTACGAGGCACATCCTGAAAAACAAACGGCTTTGATATTTCTAGATGCACAGAAGGCATTTGATAATGTGAATTGGTGATTCATTTATTACTGCTGGAACAGATGGGCTTTGCTAAAAAATTTATTCAAGCAATAGAAGCTATATATCATAAGCAAACGGCAAAGGTAATGATAGAGAGAGAACTGACAGACTCTATCTATATAAGAAAAGGAACAAGACAAGGGTGCCCACTATCGCCTTTGTTGTTTGTGTTAACCTTGGAAGTGCTAAATAGAAATATTAGAGATGAAAAGAATATAAAAGGGATGAAAATTAAAAAGGAAGAATTTAAGATGCAAGCATTTGCAGATGATCTGGTTTTCATTTTAGAAGACCCACTAGAAACAGCATCAAAATTGATAGAAAAGATAGAGACATATGGAAAGGTGGCTGGTCTGAAAATAAATAAAGATAAGACAAAGATCTTGACAAAGAATATGCTATCAAGGAAGAAGCATGAATGGATATGAATGGAGAATTCTTCTGCTGTGAATTTATCAATATTCCACATTCCCATGATCAAAAGTCTTGCCATCTGAGTGGCTGTCTGGCCTGTCTAGCATATAACTTCCCATATGATATTGGAACTGTTCAGTGCATTTCTTATTCTTCCAGATAAAATAAAAGCTGGTGACTTAAGGAATAAACAGGAGTGAAAGCGGCTTGTCAGTGCCAAACCTTGTCTTGGCAGCTGCCTCAGCAGAATAC